TCATTGCTATAGTTGTAGGATAGGTTGTAGAGTAGATAGGGCGCCTGGCGCCATTCACAAGAGAGAGCTACATTTGGGTTATGCTGTTGGTCTTGCCCTGTTGGGCATGGACATTGACTCACGATTCTTCTGTATCATTCTCAATGGGATGGTTAGTCGGTTCCATGTGCTATCTGCTTTGGCTTTGAATACTTGGACTTCAGTGTGATTTTGCATTCTAGATTTTTGTGCTTCGTCCATACTCATGTTCCTTGCAATGGGGTGTGCCAAGGATTTTTGGAAAATTGAGTGCGGGGACACAGACGGAACTGAAATCCCCCCGTGTTGATCGGACGGTAGCAAGAAGAACGTTCGTCGCCGCGCAGGCTTTAAGGGAGAAAAAGGCGCGCGCGGGACTTGCAGCTATGGGAAATTCAATCTAAAAAGTATCGCTGGACTTCCCAGCGAGCCGTCGCTCTTCGTTTCGTGTGAAAGGGGGCGGGTACACACGTGGTATCCCGTTTTCGGATGAGGTCTTGTCGGCGCTCGTTACACAACTCCGAGTCCGGCGTGGAGGGCCTCAACCGAGTAGCCTTTTCTTTGTGCTCGTCCTCGCCGCGTGTACGATAGTGGAACCCCTTGGCCTCGTAACGCTCGAAGCGACGACAATCGCTGCACAGAGTGTTAGGCCAATGAGGCTCCACTGCCGTTCACGGGACGATGATCAGTTCGTTAAAGGGTAATAACAACGAATAGGGCGGAAAGTGCGTATCAATGATAACAAAACCCGCACCGACGAATCCAGAACACCGAGTTTCGGGAGGAAAGTAATAACGCCCTCCGATATTGGCGACGGGTTCTCGTATGTCCCACTTGCATACACGTATCCTTTCCTTGTTGTACGGGAAGGGGCGCGGCGGGGGCACGGGAAGTTGGCGCCCGGTCGGATTGGGGTTGTCAGTCCACATGGTAGCAAAGGTAAGCTCAAAACAGATCTTAATCATACATCATTCGTCTGACACTCCAAGCAACCCGATCATTCCGTCGATCAGCCAATCGTCCTATCAATCATGCTATAACAAACTCGCTTACACGACTCACCTCATGCACAGACCGAAGTGAGAGAAACAAGGTTACCATAATTCATCCATTACTATATAACGGGACCGAAGGAGAGAGATAGAGAGAGAGAGAGAGAGTACGGACGCAGACCAAGAGGGAAGAACGAGTAGAAAGCAATCACAGAATGTCAGACAATCTTGTCTAGGGGAGTTCCAGCTTAAAAGCCGAGCGATCGGAATTCACACTCGAAGATACAAATTTTGGAAAAAAGAGGGAAACACTTCTATCATAAAATTCCACCATAGCCCCAGGCCATACACTCACTCACTTCCGACTCGAACGTCTCACTTGCACTGACGATCCCGGTCGTCGCGTGCCAACCCACCATCGCGATCGTCACCCCGCCGACTTAGTCTCTGCACGGCCCTGCTCGGATCCCACAGTCCGTCAGGCGATCCAGCATGCCGCGCACTAAAACTATAGCCAGCTCGTTGGGACTTTTCGAATCGCACCTTCCTTCATACCACCTAGCCACGGCTTCCCGAAAGCGGGCTGATGAGTCGAGAGAGAGATTTTCGGGAGCACTTGCGGAATTTATGGCTGCGGAAAGGAAGATAGATGCTAGGAAGGGTCAGGACTGAGACAGGGGGGAGTAGGGAAAGATTCAGGGATTGCCCCACGAAAGCCATGTCGATCCTTTGGATCCTAGTTGCAGCCAATCAGAATCGTCATGTATCAAGAATTTCCTTCTTACACGGCGCGTCTCCTTGGCTAGGGGGAGGGAAAGGGGGTCGGCAGGGTATTCCGGCGCGGGGATCAGAGCGGGAAGAAGAAGAGCGCGAAGAATAGCGTGAAATAGAACCAAGATTTAGACAATCAAGAAGGAGAGAAAAGGCGCACAAGGTCGAAAGAGAGATGGAAAACGGTTACAGAGAGAGAAGGAGCGTGATCACGAAGAGGAGAGTGTCGAAGGCAGCGTGGGAAGCGGGGAGGGGAGGCTTGCATGCATGGCGCCGACGCAGAGGCAAAAAGGGCACCGAAACAGTTACAACTAATTCAAATTGAAAAGTACCATATCCGCGCGGTAGAGCGAGCGCGGGAGAAAATCCTATACCTATTCAGATTCCTACGAAAATTCCCAGAGCTTTCCAAGACGAAGTTCAGAACATTCAGGCGCAAGAAAGGACGCGTCAGATTCCGCTCATTCCGAAATTCCTAGTCGTCGACCCAAATTCCTAGCCCGCTCGCTAAGGTGCGCGTAATTCCCATGTAATTCCCGAATTTGCAAAAGACAAATTTTCAAAAACTGATCCGAGGGTCCCACACATTACATTCATGAAAATACAAAAAGAGGCCTTGTCGGGCTGTCACCCAAAATTCGACAAAGAGAGTGGGGGGGGGGAACGGAAGATGGCGCAGGTCCGGAAGCTAGCGCGTCACAAAGAAGCCTGCAGAGAGCAGAGACAGCAAGGCCTTACAAGTTACAACAGAAGTCTGTATGGTATACCATGGATGATGCCTCTAACGTTGAGGAACGAGTCCAGGATCCCTGCTCCAGGAGTCCACATCCTCACAAACATACCCTCCACCATTCGAAGTCAGATCCCCCTATGCCAAATCTCTCTCTCTCTCTCTCTCTCTCTCTCTCTCTCTCTCTCTCTCTCTCTCTCTCTGTGTGTGTGTGTGTGTGTGTGTGTGTGTGTGTGTGTGCCCTGCGAAACCTCCTCCCCAAGCCCCCTTTGCCCCTTTCCCCGGTAGGGAGCACTCAGCTTCAGCAACAACTGCAAGTGCATAGAAGAGTGAATGATCAGAAGGGCTAGGACTAGCCTTTTCTCTTCGAAAGGCTCTCTTGGGCCGAGAACAAAAAGGCTGAGATGAGTTGAGGAGTCGTGCTCTGCATGTTATGTGTCAAGTTGTAAAACCAGAAAGTCCACCTCTGAAATGGATGGACAAGTTCTACGCGCTTAGACCCCTTGAATTCAATGCTGAACTACCATCTTCCCCTGAGCTTAACGCAAATGCGTTGTAAATGAATACAATGCATATATTGCATCCTGTTCGAATACAACAACGCTATTCGAACAGTCTTAATTTGGAATACAACGTGTATGCATTCTATAATTCTATTCGAGTCATCGAGTTTTTTAAAAACTCGAATACAATGCATGTGCGTTATGTTCGGGGGAAGACGGTAGTCTGGACCTGCTGTTGGTTTGCCATGGTGGGGTTAAAGGCTGCAATGATAGCCCTCAGTGAACCGTTCGTCGGATTACCCAATAAGCGGCACTCGTTGTTTTCCAGTGCGCGAGAACTGCGAGGTCGACTATGTGCTGGCATGTATGTATGTATCCATGCTCGCTCCAGGCTGAAGGCCCTAGATTTGCGATTGGCAATAACAGGTCGACGCTGTGTGGTGATGCACACTGCTTGCAATGAGAGTGACGTTGGGAACGCTTTCATTCATATGGGAGAGAGACTTCAGTGGGACGCGATAGCCAAGATTGCAATCACCACCAAGGAGCCGGACTTGAGCCGGACTTACTGTCAGTGGGAGCAACCGTTACGTATCATCAAGACAGCTGCCGGCCCTTGACTTGGAGGGAATAACAAAGTTGGGTAATAAGCTCAGTAGAGTGCCTCATTTACAGGGTCTCGTCGAGCCTTATGTGGTACACTCATAAGGGTGTCTCCTCAAGAGGTCCTGCCAAGGGGTCCAGTCAGTGAGAGTGGCCCTCCAGTTTCATCAGGAAGGAATGCTGCGCACAGTTTTTTTTTTCTTTTTTTTTTTTAAACCACCATGGCAGCATGGCCCATCTATTCTGTTGGTCCCACAGTCTGGTTGCTTATCACCGGCAAGCACGAGATGAAGTTCAAGACTAAAGAGGAGCAGCAGGCACAATCCCTTTTCCCTGTTGCCCCGGACTCCTGAGCACAGTTGCTGGGTTCATATATAGCAAACCTACTCCTGTTTGTTTTTTTATTTAATGTTTGTATTTTGGGCCTGTAAAATTTGTTTTTGAAGTTTTCCACCATGTTGCTTGTGGTGGTGCGGCGAAAACGGCAAATTTCCAGCTCTCTGTTAACCATCTGTCCCTCCCGACACCCTGAGACCCTGGAGCACCTTACCAAGTTACCACCTCCTCCTTGTTCCTCTCTCATTTCCATGTACCTTCCCTTCCTCTCTCCATATATTTCCGCGCAGTGAGCAAGTACATACATTGATTAAGACTTCAAAAGTATTAAAAACATAATTGTTAAACCACCAGTACTTGGCCCAGCTATCGATGCCGAGCCTGGAATGCCCCTGCGCGCCGATTTTCGCCGAAGCGCCGAGGTACCATTTCGAAATTGTTTTGGCTGGCGCTTCCAGCCATTGAGGTCCGGTACGCCGCGGCCGATAGCTGGGCCAAGTACTGGTGGTTTAACATGATAGAAAAGAGGTTGCTTTCAACTGTCGTAGCACGGATGAGCGAGGCGTTTTGTTTTGCAGCTTCTCCCAAATGCATGTGTTGTTTTGGCCCCTCTTCTTTCCGTAGTGGTTACGTACTTTTGTACTGGTGATGGCATCATAGAGTACGGCACCCATACATACATGATGCAGTCCGTAAAAATGAAGGAGAACTTGGTAGTGCATTGCAATCACTCAGATATAAGAGTCTTACGTTATCAAAGGACTGCACATTGTTTTTCTTTTTTGTTTTCTTTTTTTAAACACCACACATCACTCGTGCCCCATCTATTCTGGGGGGCTGCAGTCCAGTTGATTTTTACCGGCAAGCAAAGAGGCAGGAACAAAGGCTTCCTCGCATCAGGCCCGAGGATTCCCCCGCAGTGGTCTATGCACAGTCACAATGTAGCAATATACAGTTTTTAGTATTACGATATTATCATCCGTACATCTCATTAGGGAAAAAGAAAAAAAAAAAACATCATTATTGTTGGATGGCGGAACGACTTACCATATAGAAGGGGTCCTCTGGATTATTGACGATGACTGTCATGCCAGGCATGAGAAGCGGAGGCGGCACGACGGTGGCTGTCATCCATAGGGGATTAGCAGATACACATTTCAGCCGCAGACAAGAAGAAGAAACAGCAGGGCAGAGAGAATGTCAGAGTAACGATTAAAAAAGAAAAGATTTAAAAAAGGGAAAATTTTCGAGATGCCCCTGAAATTTCGATTAATTTGCGGCATGCCCCTCTGACGGCCAACTTACCCTGTCGCGCCCCTCTGACGACGAATGATGTTTCCAGTATGCCCCTACCGGATAGCCGTTGAGAACCAGCAGAAACATTTCCCATATGCCCCTACCCGTACCGAGCATCTTTCCAGCATGCCCCTGTGGCTGTTGTTGACACTCTTGGCCTTTCCCCTGGCCCTGGGAGAGGATCTGTCTGCCCTGATCTCTCTCTCTCTCTCTCTCTCTCTCTCTCTCTCTCTCTCTCTCTCTCTCTCTCTCTCTCTCTCTCTCTCT